AGTGTCAGGCTGGACTGCCAGCTCAAGTCCCGACTTGGTGGGGTTTGAAACCCCAATCCTCTGACTCGGGGGCAAGTGCACTACCAGCAGACACACCAACAGTAAGAACCAAAGTACAAGTAGAGTCCTGTAGCTTAATGGTTAGAGCACTCGCCTCGCAAGCGAGAGGACCTGGGCTCGATTCCCTGGCAGGGCGAAACCTTGGCAAAGCTTCCTTACTGCACTTGCCTCTGTTTATCTAACAGTAAGTAGGAACCTGGCTGTTAGTCATTTAGCAGATTGCTTTCCGGCAGCAATAATCCCTCCACACAAAAAAAAATGGTCACTCAACCCACAACTGTTTGTGGGACACTGCTGTGCGCAATTGGCTGCCATGTTTTGCACAAAAATACACAATCAATCCAATTGACAGTGTATCCTGTGAAGCGCTTTGCGACGTCTCGAAGACGTGATAAGGCGTTACACCAAATGCAAGGATGATTATTATTATTACTATTAAGTGAGTGGGGGGGTGTGGGGGAATGGCCAGAGACCAGGAAGAACGTTCTCACCAGGAAGAATTAGGAAGAAGCTCAGACACAATGAAGACCCATCTCCAGGAGACAGGCCTCAAGTATTAGGGCAGGGGACCAGGAGAACCAGAGCCATAGAAACGTAAACATGGCTCAATCTGAAGTGAGGCGGATATTCACTGGGTTTCATTTGTTTGTTTTAAACTGCTTCCTACATGGGAAACGGAAGAAAGGAAACTCCCTCCGGAACAGATTCTGGAATCTTGAAATGAGGGTGGAAACAGCGTGGGCGGAGGGGGAGGGCGGGGGAGATGGCAGGAGCAGCAACTGAGTTGAATGAATGATTTTGAGTCGAGCGAGACCACTTTACAAGCGACTAAAAGAGTTATAAAACTGAGCAACTTTAAGGTGTCGTGGAGGTACTGGAAGGGCTCGTCCAGCCAACAGGATACTCGGTGGCTCACTCCTGCAGGAGAATCTTGAAGACATTGCCATGTTTGCTGTCAGAGGCCAAGCTATTAGGTCCCTTGTGCCCCTATCCCACGTCTCGACCACTGGTGTCCAACATTGGGGGTGGTGGTGGGGGGTGGGGGGGTGTAGGTGGAGTTTCTGGGGACCTGTACACAGGCACACATACCATTGCCAGCTTGCAGGAACCAAATCTGTGTTATAAAGTGCTGGTCTCTGGTCCAGCCTGCACTTCCTCACATTCCAGCTCTGCGGGGTAGGGCTGTGGAGAGATTTCACTTGCCCAGCCCCGAGACAAACACTGCGGACACATTTTCTGGCATTGGCCCCACGGTCCTATTAGGACCTTGAGTTAGGGGATTGCTGATGATGTCAGGTTTACCCACAGTGACAGAGACAAACTATCAGCAGCATTCCCACTGAGGTACATGCAGAACACACGTCGAGGAACACCCTCCCATTTGCCACACTTGTCCTCACTTTATTAGAGATACTGGCACTTTGCCCAACCAGGGGAGTGTCAGCCTGGCACTCGCACTCTTGCCTCCAAGTCTGTAGGTTCTGGGTATACGCCACCCCCCGCATCAGTCTAGGGTTCAACCCCACAGTCTGGGCTGACGCTCCAAGTAATATTCCTTGCATTTGATATAGCGCTCTGCATGTCTTCTGGACGTCTCAAAGCGCTTCACAGAATAGACTGTAAAGTGAAATTGACTGTATAATTTGTGGGCGAAACGCGGCAGCCAACTGCGCACAGCAGCGTCCCACAAACAGTCGTGGATTGAATTGACCAATTTTATTATTTTTTGTTTCCTTGAGGGATTATTATCAAACATGTGGAGGAAGGAAACTTGCCCAAGGTTTTTGCCCTGCCCGGAAATCAAACTCAGGCCTCTCGCTTGCAAAGCGAGTGTTCTCACCACTGACCTACAGGGATAACATAGCTATGAAAGGTAAGAGCAGAAAACCCCTCCACCCTGCCTTGCAGCAATCTTACGCAACTATATAATACGTATAACTATATATCGCACTTATAATTACATGGTTGTTGATTTAGATCACAACCCAACACGTTTAATAGATTTTTTTGATATATAAATTAGGCTGATTGGTGCCAACCAGTCTGTCACAGCATCAACTCCACTGATTCCTCTGCCAACACTCCTGTTCTGCATCCACTAGCGTCGCTTCTCCAGGTAAAGGACAATTTCCTCTACTTATTGCATTGTGCCCACTATAATACTATAATATAGTCCAGGCTGAAACTCCACTGCAGAGTGGGGGGTGGGGGGGGGATTGCATTGCCAGAGGTGCCTTCCTTCGAGTCAGACGTTAATCCAAGGACCCGTCTGGCTCTCCAGGTGGACATTAAAGATCCCGCGGCGCTAATAGAAAAGAGAAGGGGATTCTCCCAGTGTCCTGGCCAACAATCCCTCCCTCCCCCCCCCTACTCCCCACCCCAATAAAAATGGGGTCATTCTCTCCACACCGTTTGTGGGACACAGCTGTGCACAAATTGGCAAGTTTAGGGCAAAATCCTGTGAAGTGCTTTATGAGCCGTCGCCAGATGCACTCTCTTGTTAAGAAAAACCCCGAGTTAAATGCACAGAGACATTAGGTTGTCTTAAGTGGACGGAAGGTCTTAATTTGGCCAGATTCTGACATTTATGGGTGGGTCAGTTACACAGCAATAGGGCTACAGCATCATTAAAGATCTAACATGGGGTGAGGGCAAGGTTGTTGGGGGGGGGGGAGGCCCACAGGGTACAGGCATTCTTCAGCAACTTGTACTAATTCAAATCTTCTGCAGACAACTCCGCCAGGCCCTGCAGAGAGAGAGAGAGAACGTCTGTGCTTCCTGCTCACAGCGGGGAAACGTTCCAGCACCTTGACCTGTAATTAGCCAAATAGCTCGCAACCCTCAGCTCAGGCCTCGACAGAGGAAACAGGCTGTAATGTTCCCTGCAGTTACTCCAGCTCCTTCACATACTCTCCTCCCCCTCCTCAGGCACCCAACACTAACTCACTCGGATCCTTTGCCCACAAACAGCCACTCCGCCTCCCTCCTCAAAAGGCTCCGATGTCGCTGAACACCTGGGAGACAGATTAATGATTTACCAGCCGCTTTAAAGCCGCAGCCTCGCTCTGTCTGCTCGGCTAATTGACAGATCCCCTGCACTTCACGCCCGCTGCCCCCGTTTGTGATCTTTAAAAGGGCAGGTGGCTGGGGCTCAAAGGGCGACTGATGGAAATTCACTTTAAGGCACAAAGCTTCAAACCGGGTAAATGTTAGGTAGGATTGCCATGGGGATGTGCCGTTAGCCCACACTCATACCTGTTCGGGACTCTCAGCTTAGCTATATATTTTTGTCAGCCGTGTGTCTGACATGCAGAAGCCCATCGGCAGAAACCCAAGCCAGACCGAGATTTCCACGCAAAGCCACGTACACACGGAGCTTCCCCCAGTCTGAAACGAACGTGCACTCGCTCTCTCTCCTCAGGAGGGACGCACTCTGCCTACCTGGAGAGTCTGAGGCACGTGGTGGATGGAGCCAAGGCTTGGGGGACCCCAGAGTGTGCGTAGGGTTAAGTGCTAGAGTCCAACCAGCTAAAAGCACGCAGCTCGCCATTGAAGGCACTGTCTGCCAAGCTTTCCTGTTGCTTGTCCAGCGAAGATCATCCTACCCATTAGGACTTTGGTTTGCAGGGTTAACAGGAGCCGAGTTGGAAGAATCCCTGATCCTTGTGAGCTAGACATCAGTTAGTTGCACTCTCACCTCTCAGTCAAAAGATTGTGGGTACATTCCCCACCTCAGGACCAGAGCTCACAGTTCCAGGTCACTGGAGAAGGGTTGGGGGAAGGGGGTGTGGAGGGGGTGGAAGGGAGAGAAGAGCACTGCACTGTCAGAAGTGCCGTCCTTCGGATGAGACGTTAAACAGTCACTACACTCGACAGCGAAGACTGCAAAGCACTTTGCTTTTAACGGGTGTTAAAAAAAAATGCCCATCCTCTCAGTCCTGATTAAAACTCATTACCACAGGGTGTGAAACGTTACCTTGGAAATAACTGCGTCGGGGAGAGGCAGATGGACTGGAACCTGCATTTATTGTGTGAAAGGAATTTCACGTATGCCCAGGCAAAAAAAAACAGGACGCTCCCAATAAATCAGTCAGGAGTAATGTGGGCCTTACATCATTAAAGAAACTCTCTGTACAACAGTGTCCATTGTCTGAGAAATAGAGTGCAGCTTCCAACACACGGCCCCTCTCTACCACTCCCCCCTCACCCCCCCCCAACACACACAGACACACACTCATGTGCATGTTTGAGCTGTTAAAGCACAATTCTGCTCAGCGATTAGCGGTCTTCATTCTCCTCTCCGGCTATACTTTGGCTCAAGGCCGTGTGTTAACCAGTTGCAAAAAAAAAAGGGAACAGATTATAAAGGCCACAAAACAATCCCCCAATAAAAGAATGGTCATCCGCTTCGTGGCTGCTGAAGTGGGCGCGGCAGAATCGGATGCTGCAATTAATTAACCTACAAATGCATTCACCTGCAGGATTAGCAGGATTTACAGTTGCTTCGCTTTACAATAAGTCCTGCCAACCTTCCCGAATAAAAATCGGTGACTTGTTTCATGGCTGTTTGTGGGGACGTTGCTGTGCGCAACTGCGTTCGCCTATTTGCCTACAGGACACACAGTCACTCCATTTCACGGTAAATCCTGCGAAGGGCTTTGAGACGTCCCTCCGACTTGATGAGGCGCTGAACCAAACAATAATAGTAGCAATCATCATCATTGCGCGAGGTATACAGCGCCTGAGCACGTCTTCATGACGTCTCAAAGCGCTTCGCAGAACATACCGTAACGTGCAACAGCACATTTCGTGGGCGAAACGCGGCAGATAACTGCGCACGGCAGCGTCCCACACACAGCGGTGGATTGAAATGCTAGAAATATTATTATTAATAATAATAACAATAGACGATTATAATTATCGATCCGGAGGCCACTCACCCTCACAGGCGCTGTCCACCACCTCGTAGCCGGCCGTGCATTGACACTGACCGACCGGCACCAGCCACTCCCCGTCCAAGTTGCAGTGCATTTTAGGACGGCCGTCAGCGACGGCGTTGGCCACGCAGCTGCCCTCCACCTCCGAGAGCTCCTGCGAGTCGGCCCCAGCGATGGTCTCGGGGAACATGGCCATGTTGTGGCTGAGGGCCGAGCACTTCTTGTAGTAGACACGAACGGAGATGAGGGCCACACAGGCCCCCACGTCCTGGAAGGCCAAGTAGAAGCCCTTCTTATGCAGCGAGCCCACCTGCCGGACCTCCAGGTTGATCTTCACCTTGCGCAACTCGATGTCCTCTCTGGTGGTGATCTCGTCCGGGGCGATAGTGTCGATCTTCCTGAACTGGCTGGTGCGGAAGTTCGTGCCGTAGTCAAAGTCGGACTCAGCGTAGAAGAGGTTGAAGGTCTCCTTGCAGGAGGTGGCCAGGCTGGGGAAGCTGTTGCAATCTCTGGCCGTGAACTTCAGCTCCACGAATATGCGCTTGGCCTCTCCGCGGTAGATCCAGTTTGTCCGCAGCCAGTTGTCCTGGTCGCCCTCGATCACGTTGCACACGCTGTACATGTAGATGGGGCTGTCGTGCAGCACATTCTGGAGCAGATCCCACTATTTATTTCAGACAGACAAACAAACAAAGTCATTGAAATGTCAATCGCACAATCATTCAACCCCATTGTGGTCCAATGTCCACGTCACCCTCCCTCCACCCCACACCCCCCCACCACCATTTGGTTCTCGCCCAAATCTCCGGCTCCCTCCCTTCCCCTCCACGTGTCATCCCGACTCGTCACCCCCTGAGGTGAAGCTGGAGAAACGGCAAGAGAATTGGGGAGGGGGGGGGGGGGAAAACGACGTGAAGATACAGGGAAAAGGGCGCAAAGGCGGTGATTGGTCACAAGAGGTAGGACTTAAGGATAGAACGACAGAGTGGTGGAAGGGAGCAAGGGGGGCGCTCCAGAGGTTAGAGCAGTAGGAACAGATGAGTCTATATCCTGAACCTATCGTTTGTCCTTCAAATGGCTATTTAATAACACGGCTGAATGTCTCTCATTGCCCCCCACTCCCTGCTCCCTGAGCTCGGGGTGTGCGCGGTGGGGGTGGGGGGGGAAGCTGCGATGGCGAGGATGGAATTGGTCCCAAGTGAGGAGAGAGTGAGAGGAGAGAGAGCGCGTTACTTACCCCCTTGCCGTAGGGTTTGGTCAGCCAGCCAAGCTCACCGTGAGCAGAGGCAAAATCCAGCAACGCAACTGGGAGAGAAAAGAGTGGGAGAAAGAGAGACTGTTAGACCAGAATGCTACTACAGACGCGTGTACACCAAGCAACACATCTGTATACAGGGGAGCTGCCGTCTGAGCACACACACAACACACACACACACACCATGTGTGCACACACGCACATCTGTAGCTCATTTAAGAACACACTTAAAAGCAAACCGTGACATAGACTGACCATCAGCGCCACAGGAAAGCGGGGGGTCAGGTCAGAGCCGTGTGGACTGCTAGGATTCTACAAACTCCAATCTCTCAATCGCTGTTGACTTGCTGTTCAGACAGGCTGTCAGGGCTAATCAGCCTCTAATCCCCACTCCGCCTTTGAACATGCCAGCGGCCTGTCAGTTGAATTCCGCGCAGTTATTTATTAAGTGAATTAAAACCCAACAAACTGACCACGGCCCGAGTAACAAAGGACACTCAGCAGCGCAAGGACATTTGATTTCTCTCCCCCACCCTTTTCTCCAGCCTCCAGCCCCCCCCCCCCCCCCGCGAAACACAAATACACACACACAAACAATGTGTCTCCGCATCTTGGTTTGGTGTTGGTAGACTCAGAGGATCCAGTTGACCCCAAGACCAGTGTGAGTCACTAGCAGAGTCTCTGTTAAAGTGAGTTGAACCCCTAAAGGTCTAACCAGGATTTGGCAGAGATGAGCAGCTGAAACAACCTCCCCTTCCCCCCCCAGCCCAGGGGTCCGGAGTGTTTGCGGAAAGCCCCCCTTCATGGTTGTTTGGTGGGACATCACTGTGCCCACAAAACACACAGTCATTGCACTTTACAGTTAATCCTGTGAAGGACTTTGTGAAAGTGAAAGGCGCCCCGTCAGATACAAGGATTTTTACAATTGATTCATCCGTGGGAGACGGGAGAAGGTGGGGCTGAGAGGGGATGCGAGACACAAACAAGGCTGACATGGGCCACTGATATTGTCCTCCACAATCTGTGACCTTCACATCGAGTTGTCCACTGAGACGACAGAAGGACTCCTCTTCCGTGAAGCTTACACCAGTGACTGTCCTGCACTGCTACACATGATTTACAGTCACTGAGCTCAAGTCAATGACTCGCACTGTGTCGCTGGGTCAAGCAGCAACATGTTGCACCAGATCACTGTAGCTTCAGCATTGAATTCCACGGCACTCCCAGGAAACCAGAATCCATTATGTGTCAGAGTTTCATACCTCATTGTGCAAGTAGCGAGCGAGCGAGTGAGTGAGACAGCAAACTCACTGAGCCTCAGTGGATCAGAGCGAGTGAACTCACTGAGGCTCGGTGGGTCAGGTCAGTCAGTGCCTCGTCCCTGCTGTCGCACTGTTTCCCGCATCCCCCCCCACCCCCCCACTCGCTCATTCAGAAAGACACACTGGATTCACAGCCACACACAAACCTCTGTGACACTCTCTTCTCTCCTTGTGGATAACTAACAATGGCTCACACTCGCTTCTCATACACCAGGCAAGGAAGACAAGAGCATTAATGAGGACAATGTGCTTTGAAAGCACTTAAGAGCAAACTCACAGAGAGCTTTGATTTAGGTTTCAAAGTCAGTTGCGGATCTGGGCACCGCTACAGCCCTATCTGACCCGAGAGCAGCTTTTTGATGATGAAGCCACTGAGATTAAATCGTACACGGAATTACTCAAACATCTCACCCTTCAGTCCTCGGCAGTTCCACCGAAAAAGGTTTGATGAGAACAAAAGACAAACTGCTTTTGAACTGCTTTCAGATTACATGCAAACCATAGGAATTTACAGCACAGAAGAAAGCCATTCAGCCCATTGTGTCCGTTCTGGCTCTTTTAAAGGGCAATTCTTTCCTTTCCCCAAACCCCTTTTAACAAGAACTCTAACATGTCCTCCCCACATCAAAGGTGTTACATATAAAAGTAAATTGTGCTGCGTTTTATTTGTTCAGCATCTTTTGTGTAAAAAAAGTCTCGAACCACTTTACAATAAAAGTGAATGTAATAATGATATTATTATCCTTACATCTGATAATAGCACCTTTCATGTCGATACTACATGTCAAGGCCTGGATATACTGTAATGTGCAGTGACTGTATTTTAGACCAATTTGCACATGTCAATGTCCCACAAACAGGCATGAAGTGAATGACCAATTTTATAAGAGGATTTTTGGCCAGGATATTGGGAAAGAAACTCCCTTCTCTTTCTGTTGTATTGGATCAGCCAGGTGTCTGACACGTGGGGAAACACATCACTATATTTAAGAGTATTCAAACCAAAATTTATCATGGAGAATTCCATGATAAACCAGGATAAAAATACTCGAAGGAATAGCACGGATAGAAGGCAGAGTTGGAGGTGAGGGGGGGTTGAGGGGGAGAAAGGAAGGAAACGTCCCTGAAAGTCCACTCAAACCACGAGGCGAACGCAACTGAAATTAATGACTCAATCAGAGACGGGGATGTGGAAATCGACGAAACTTGCATTTCATATAGAAACAGTGACGGAGAACTAAAAGTCAAAATAAAAAAAAAGGAACGACAACTTGGGTTTAAATAGTGCCCCGTCATGTGGGGCAGCGACCCAGAGCACATACAGTGATAGAAAAGTATAGTCACACGAGGTGACTCCCTAGATGGTCAGTTTTGTAAGAGACAAGTTTGAAAGAGAGAAAGAAAGTCTTCTCTCTCTCTTCCTCCCTAGTAACCTGTACAGCCAGGAACAGGATAACAGCCCACCCCCCCTCTCTCCCCCACCCCCGGGAGTCATTGTTCGAGCGTACAGAGGAAAGCCAACTCAAGGCAACAAAGTTTTACATCATTTTACATCCTCTCAACAACACACTCAGCAGCCAAACGGGAAGATGTGATCTTCAAACACAAAGATTTTTTTTCTTAAAAACACAAAAAAAAGAGAAACTGACGACAGCTGCGATTTAGACGTTCCGTTTCCTGAAAACAAGCCTCGTTTTATTTTATTAACGGCGAAAAGACTTCTCATTTGCCTGCTAAATGAGAGAGAGAGAGAGAGTGGACTCGATGCTCGACGATAATTACTTGCAAAGCCCTCGGCGACGTTTCAAAGTGATGAGAATTGTTGTAAAAACCGCAAATCCTTTCTTTGTGACAACAGGGGGTTGGGATTGAGATGTAAAGGCACAGTTTTGGGGTCTGGAGCAGGGGGCAAGTTGAAAAGGTTTCTTTCCTCTCTCCCCCCTCCCCCCACCACCTTTCAACCTCATCCATACTTGTTATTTTCCGTTGCTACTTTTACAGACAGACAGACAGACAGACAACATGTTTGACTCTGGAAGCAACTCTAGCAATGTAATAAAAGGGCTGCTCCCCCCCCACAGCTCCAAATCCACCCAGACCCTGACTCCAAAGTCTCTCTCTCACCGTGCAGCCTCAGCAATAATAATAACAACAGTAATAATTATCCTGGCGTTTGACAATAATAATCCTCGTCACATCGTCGAGACGTCCCGACGCGCTTCACGGGATATACTGTAGTACGGTGCGAATGCGTGTTTTGACGCGGCCGTCGTGAATGGCACTGAGTGGAATCAAATGGCTTCGGGCTTCATGCTAACCCCTCTAACTGAGTTTCTGGGGATCCCCCAACAACCACCACAGGGGCAGATTTGCTTTGGGGGGGGGGGGGGTTGGAGGGAAGGGGAGAAAAGAAGAGGGAAAGAAAGGAAAGCCAGGATTTAAGCGGTTTAATGTTCAGGCAAGTCTCCCCAGCTTCCGCTGCCATATACAGTTAGTCAGGATCACACGCAGTACACACAGCTATTATAATGGTGGTTTGGGCAGGAGCTGGACCTGGTTGGCCACAGGCACGACGCGAGCAGTGATTTTCCTCCCACTTTCCCATCGGATTCCAGGACTCCGGAACCACACAGTTAAAAGGGGTATATCATTTGCTAAGCCCGCTATTTAACGAGATTAAAAATCACCGCCCGAGGAAAATAAAGAGGAGTTTTTCCCCACTTAATCCGCGCGAATCCTCCTTCATCCGCCCCCCCCCCCCCCCCAGAAAAGTAATTGCACAGGCAGAAAATCCGGGAGTAAACGTTCCGCGCTAACGAGAGGGGAAAAGAAATGCAATAATTACAGACTGACGAGAGCGTTAGAGAAATGGGGAGGATTAATTTTTCAGATTGTCAGCGTCAGTCTGCGCAGTAAATGCTCATCAAAAATTCAAAGGTTTAAACAATCTCTTTGAAATGATATAAACAGCCCTTTCTCACTCGCTCACCCAACATCAGATAAATGGGAGATGAAACAAAAGGAGGTAAATACAAACACCACAGGCACTTTCAACCCAACACTGTAGTTTAAGTTGATGTTTGCGAGTGCACTTTAATAATCCTTGCATTTCATACAACGCCTCATCCAAGCCATCGAGACGTCTCAAAGCGCTTCACAGGATACACCATAAAGTGAACTGACTGTACATTTTGTGGGCGAAACTTTGCAAATTTTCTTTCTATTAAAAAAAGCTTTGCACTAAGCGCGATGTACGTCACTGCCGGGGAAAGGGTGTTTTGCGGGGACGTTGCTGGGAGCAAACCAGCTGCCCCGTTCGACCGCAAGACGCGCACAGTCCAGTCACTACACTTTGCGGTAAATCCTGCCGGAGGCTGTGATGAGGAGCTGCATCAAATGCTAATGCCGTGCAAATACCCAAACCGTGGGGAGTCAGACTTCACTGGGTGGAGAAGGAGTTGTGCGTGTGTTTGGGGGGCTGAGGGGGAAGGGGTGGAGGGGGGGGGGGGGTTAAGAGTTGCGAAGGAGGGAGAGGAGAGTTAGTTATTTCTGCAAGAAGGCACTTAGCAGCCACTGGACTTTGTGAGGTGGGAAGTCTCTCTGTGCTGATGTGTTCTGCGCTCGCTGTACCACACCTGCTTTACCCGTTTCCCACACTCTGCCACTCAACTGCGTGAGCGCGCGGTGGCGAGCGAAGCAGCTCCTAAGCCGAGCCCGGAGTTAATCCCGTTTCCCAAACCTCCGCACAAGCTCACTGACATTTTTGGGGGGAGAAAAGAGCCTCAATCCAAGAATTCAGTCGATTGGCAGATCGCTTTCCGGGGTGGGGGGGGGGGTGTAATAAATCCTCAACAAAATATTTGGTCACTCGATTCCCGACTGCTTTGTGGGACGCTGCTGTGCACAACCTGATGCCACATGTTGCCTGCAAGATGCACGGTCACTACACTTTACAGTATATCCTGTGAAGCATCTTTGATACGTCTCAACAACACGATAAGGCGCTTTTTGGGGGTAAACGTTTCAACTGAGATCAACAGGAAAGGGATGGAGGAAAGGGTAACGCGGGGTGGGGGCAGAATTACACCAAAAACACCTCTTAAATCTCTCCAGACGTCAGCAAAATCAGGCAAATACCTGTAGTACCCTCTTACTCTCTCTTTCGCACACGCTCCAAAGTTGTTCCCAATTTTTTTTTCATTTTTACAAACTATTTAATGGCTTTTTTTCCCCTCTCTCTCTCTCTCTCTCTCTGCTTCCCATAGAAACCACTTGGAAGATATTTTTTTTTCCTCGGGAGGAAACCGTTGAGCCAGATTTTACTTGGGATCAGACTGAACGCGTTGCCTTTCCCTTTCACTGGAAATTTTTTTGCACGTTTTAAATCTGGGATTTAAATCGAAAGTATCAAATACGAGGATTATTCTATATATATAGTGAATACATACAGTGTTGTGTGTATATATATATACGATATTACACACACACACACACACACAGGGTGATGCCATCATAACATCTAAGAAGGACTAAAGAAGTGATGATAATTAATGAATTAGTAATAAATATTAAAATAAATGGTATTGCGCCTTTTTGGTCACTCTGCGTGTGTGTATATATATATATAGTAGGAGGGCAGAGGGGAGAGGAGGGCAGAGGGGAGAGGGGAGAGGAGGGCAGAGGGGAGAGGGGAGAGGAGGGCAGAGGGGAGAGGGGAGAGGAGGGCAGAGGGGAGAGGGGAGAGGAGGGCAGAGGGGAGAGGGGAGAGGGGAGAGGGGAGAGGAGGGCAGAGGGGAGAGGAGGGCAGAGGGGAGAGGAGGGCAGAGGGGAGAGGAGGGCAGAGGGGAGAGGAGGGGAGAGGGGAGAGGAGGGGAGAGGGGAGAGGAGGGCAGAGGGGAGAGGGGAGAGGAGGGCAGAGGGGAGAGGGGAGAGGAGGGCAGAGGGGAGAGGGGGAGAGGGGGAGAGGAGGGCAGAGGGGGAGAGGAGGGGAGAGGGGAGAGGAGGGCAGAGGGGAGAGGGGAGAGGAGGGCAGAGGGGAGAGGAGGGCAGAGGGGAGAGGGGAGAGGAGGGGAGAGACACTCTCAGGGCCGCGATGTTTCTCTCGGACGCAAACTTTTGCAACAAGTTTCAGAAGTTGAAAGCGCAGCGCGAGAGGTAAAGTGACCCTAAACCCCGGGGAGAGGGGGAGAGAGGGGAGGATGAGGGGGAGAGAGGAGGGGGAGAGGGGGAGAATGAGGGGGAGAGAGGAGGGGGAGAGAGGGGAGAATGAGGGGGAGAGAAGAGGGGGAGAGAAGAGGGGGAGAGGGGGGAAGAGGGGGGAATGAGGGGGAGAGGGGAGGATGAGGGGGAGAGAGGAGGGGGAGAGAGGAGGGGGAGAATGAGGGGGAGAGAGGAGGGGAGAGGAGGGGGAAGAGAGGAGGGGGAGAGAGGAGGGGGAGAATGAGGGGGAGAGAGGAGGGGGAGAGGGAGAGAATGAGGGGGAGAGAGGAGGGGGAGAGGGGGAGAATGAGGGAGAGAGAGGAGGGGGAGAGGGGGAGAATGAAGGGGAGAGAGGGATGAGGGGGAGAATGAGGGGAGAGAGGAGGGGGAGAATGAGGGGGAGAGAGGAGGGGGAGAGGGAGAGAATGAGGGGGAGAGAGGAGGGGGAGAGGGGGAGAATGAGGGAGAGAGGAGGGGGAGAGGGGAGGGGGAGAGGGGAGGATGAGGGGGAGAGAGGGGATGAGGGGGAACACACGGGACTGAGCTCTTACCTTCGTCTGACTGCAGTCCGGGGGGGAAGCCGGAGAGCAGCAGCAGAGAGAGGAGAGCGAGTGGAGGGCGATGAGGCTCCATTGATGGTCTTCTTCTGGTCTCTCGGGGCCACAGCAAATACTGGAGATGAACTGGTGACAAAGCTCTCCCTCTCTCTCTCTCACACACACTGACACACTCACTCTCTCACACACTGACTTTCTCTCTCTCTCTCTCTCTCTCTCTCTCACACACTCACTATTTCTCACTAACTCTTTCTTTCTCTCTCTCACACTCACTCTCTCACACACTGACTTTCTTTCTCTCTCTCTCTCTCTCTCTCTCTCACACTCACTCTTTCTCACTAACTCTTTCTTTCTCTCTCTCACACTCACTCTCTCACACACTGACTTTCTCTCTCTCTCTCTCTCTCTCACACTCACTCTTTCTCACTAACTTTCTCTCTCTCTCTCTCTCTCACACTCACTCACTCTCTCACTTGTTCCCAACTCACTGACTCTCTGTCTCCCTCTCTCTCCCTCCCATCCCTGTCAGCCCCCCCCTCCCCTCCCTCCCCCCTCCCTCCCTGTGGGGAGGTACCAGTCGGTTGGAGAACCCCAATCACAGCTCACATTCCCCAACCCTGACATTAACCACATTTTGTCAGAACTTCCCCCAATTCCCTCACATTCCTCCCTTCATCGCAGACCCACATCAGCCCAGACAACAAGTCGGGGCAGGTAACCCATCCTCCAGCTGCGCCCTGTAATTGCAGATGTTTTATCATCTTAAATATTGCACACAGCTGCTCGACCTCCACAGACTCTCTCTCTCTCTCTCTCTCTCTGTGTGTGTGTGTCAAGTCTCCTTTATCCCCTCTGAGGGTATCACAGCCGCGCGAACCGCTCTCCCGACCCCCCCCATCGGGTTCCTAACCTGTCGCGCCGTTAGCTTTTCGCCCACAAATATACAGTCAATTCACTTTACAGTGTGTTTCTGTGAAGCGCTTTGGGACGTCCTCCCGACGTGAAAAGCGCTATATCAAATGCAAGGATTATTATTATTATTATAAGTCGCTCCACCTCCGCGGTCTATCCCGCGCAGCGCTTCGAGGCGGTCTCGACGGCGTGCGCGGCGTCGAGCGCAAGACTGTTGTTGTTATTTTCAGTTGGGGGGGTCAGACATTTCACAGGACTCGGTACGGGTCGTGGCAAACTCGCGTAGAATCTGGACTCCTGAACGGGGGACTTGGGCAGGTGGAACGATTTGGGCGATTATCCGATTTACACGGATCAGACTTACGAGACTTTTTACCGCATTTAATGCTCGGTTTATGGTCTCCGCCGTCCGTGTTGCAAACGCTGGCTCCTATCTACTGGAATGTGCAAGCACAGGGTAAAAGCTTTCCTAAAAAGGAAGTGAGCGACATCCCGATGGCAGGGTGTCGGGGAAACCATTGAAAATTTTACCTGAGTCACCCTGTTCGGAGGAGTGAGTCAGGTTGTTCTCACAGGTCAGTCGGTTTAAAAGAAAGACAGGATCACACCCAGCAGCTCAGAACAAAAGCTGGACCTGGCTCCATTTCACCAGGAGCAGTTCGCAGCCAGTTTCACTTCTTCTACCTTTGCAAGTACAATCCATTGCATTGTCCTGTCCTGCCCCGGTGAACGAGGATTTCGTAATTTTGTGGCGCCTTCGAAAATTATATTGCATTTTTTTTTATTATTGGCCCTTCGTATCGAATGACAGTACATATATGAGTCAACGTTTCAAAAGCTCTTTGCCGAGCAATTGCTGTCAAGTGTAGTGACCGTTCATTTTGGACGCTCACCTGGCAACTGTTTGCATAAGGGCAAAGTCCTACAAGAGAGTCATGGGGTTAATGCACCCGCTTGAGATCAGAATGGGCGCATCCAGCAGCGTATGAGCAGGAATGAGTGTGCATTTAGTCCTGTAGCATATTGGTTAGATCACTTGTCTCGCACACAAGAGGACCTGGGTTTGGTTCCCACGCAGGGCAAAATGTTAGGCAGGTTTCCTTACTCCTCCACACGCCTCTGTTTAACTAGCAGTAAGTAGGAACCCAGTTGTCAGTCGATTGGTGGATCACTTTCCGGAGGGTAATAATCCCTCCTAAAAAAAAAATCGGGTCGCTCAATGCAAGATTGTTTTGGGACGCTGTCGTGCTCAATTGGCTGCCACGTTTCACCCACAAAATGTACAGTCAATACACTGCACAATATATTCTGTGAAGCGCTTTGAGACGTCTCGATGACGTGATAAGGCGCTGTATCAAATGCAGGGAATATTTTTCCTATTATGGCAATGACACTCACATCAGCGCGTGTGCCGGTGCGAATGAGCATTTGATAGCAACAACAACAACGACTTGCACTTGCATAGCGCCCTCCGCACTGGGCGGTGTCTCAGAGTGCTTGATAGCATCCTTCAACTGAGAACAATTGGGTGGATTTGAGATGATCTGATCTTTCCAAGGCACGGGAGTACTGAGCCATGCCAGGCTGCAGTAAGCCTCCCTCGCACGACGGAAGTCCTTTTGAGCTTGAAATTTGCTCTTTAATTAGGATTTAAAATGATTGACACTTCTCGAAGCAACAGCAGCCTTTTGCTGTAATCCCTGCACCGTGGAACCTCCCTTTAGCTGTACGCAGAGTGAAAGGATGAAGAAAGAACTGGCATTTTGAATCGCATCAGAACATCTCACAATGCTTCTTCGGGAATTACTGTCAGGTGAAGTGAGTGTGTTATGTAGTGCAAGCCAAAGCCCTTACGGGTAGAATGGCTTTAGATGGACAAGCAGTGGGAAGCTGGCCAGATAGTGCTCTCAATATAAAGTAAAATCAATGTAAGGTAAACTATGTGGATTAAGCTGGTTAGACTCCAGCAGTTACTCCAACACGCACCAGCCTTGGCTCCTGCCAGCCTGCACTTAATACTCTCCGGAATGAATTAAAAAAAAGGGAGAGTGCACATTCCATTCCAATACACAAGAATTTCCATGTGTCTGTGGGATCCACGAGGTGAATAATTAATTTTTGCTCCAGATAGAATTGGTCATTCACGTCCGGGCTTCGCTGTTTGCAGGATTTTGCCGCTGCTGCATCTTGTCAACAAAATAAACACTTTACAGTCTTTAATAAAGTTGAAACTAAACTTTACGGTAAATGCTCTGATGCGTTTGAGATATTTTGATGTCGCGCTCAGATGGTTTGTCAAGTGCAAGGTAATGATTATTAATATCACTTTATCTGGAGGACTATTGGGGTGGAGGAGCTGGAAGAGGTGGCCAAAAAATGTGGTCGAAAGGAAAGGTCTTAAGACTGGTTTTAAAGGTGTGCGCGTGTGGGTGGGGGGGGGTGGAACGGGGACAGGGGGATTCTAGGATAGAGTTCCTGAATGCAGGGGCAGAATGGCTGAAACCTCACCCGCTGATGGTGGGGCAGGGCAGGGCGCTGGGGACATGAAGCAGCCCAGTGTTCGCTGAGCCAAGAGACTGTTGGGGCGATAGGGTTGCAGAAGCTTCTGTTACCAAAATCAGAGCATTAAAGTGTCCTCCACCTCTTGGTGTCAAGGATTAAGAAGCGTTCTTTATTGAAGTCCTGCGGAGGCAGAGTCACCTGGAGAAAGGGAACTGTATAATGCAAGAGAAAGTGTTTGAGCGCTATATGAACACATCACCACGATACCATGCAGACTCGGGACAGCAGAAGCTCAGAGACATAGGGATTAAGTGCTTAAAATGATTGCAGAATGCACTGCTCCAGACACATCAATGAAGCCTCTGTGTAAAGCGTTATTATCAGCCCACATCTTGCTGAAATGGCTCTCAGGGCAAATCAAATAGATTAATCATTCACCACAGTCACCAGCAATGAAATGGATCAGATTTGTTTCGATCTTTGTATGTCAGCCTGGCTCAGTGGTGGTACCTTTGCCTTGGGTCAGAAGGTTGTAGCTTCAAGCCCCACCTAGCGAGGGAGCACACATCGTCTAAGCTCCAATGCAGTGCTGGGGGTGGGGGGGGGGGGGCTGCATTGTTGGAGGTGCCATCCTTCAGATGAGACCTTAAACCTGGGTCCCGTCTGCCTGTTCAGGTGGACGTTAAAGATCCCATGGCACTATTTGAAAAGAGAAGGGAGTTTCTCTCTCTCGGTCTCAATCCCCCAAATAAAATTGATCACTTACTCCTGTGAAGTGCTTTGGAACGCCCACATGTTGTGAAAGGCACTACAGCAAGTGCAAGATAAGTCTTTAATTATGGTTTATCTTATTTCTATATTTGGCGGCTTCTAATTGCTCTATTTCCCAGTTCCACATCGCTCTGTTTAATTGTTCTTCCAAAGTCCCCATTGCAGTATCAGACTGATTTTTGTGAATGAGTCAGAAATCCTGGCCTCCATCTCCCTTCCTAGTATCGCCTTTTCAGCTGTTAATTAAACTCTATGTAAAGAAATACTTCCTAGTGTCTGCCCTAATCTTGCCTTGCTCCACAGGAACCCAAGGCTTCCTGTTACAAATCCTAGCATTTAATGTTACACCTTTCACATCCACTGTAGGGCTCAAAGGACTTCATAAAATATACGCTAAATAACGACAGTAATAATAATCCTTGCATTTGATATAACGCTTATCATGTCATTGAGACATCTCAAAGTGCTGCTCAGGATATACTATTAGAGTGTAGTGACTGTATATTTTGTGGGTGAAAGGCGGCAGCCAATTGCACACAACAGTCTCCCACAAATAGTCGTGGATTGAGTGACCAAATTCTGATTTATTTTTTGGAAGGATTATTTTGGAGGGATTATAAAGTCCAGTGACTATGTAATTTTTTGGCAAGTGTGCAGCCAATTCTCCTCCCTGGGAATGTCCCACAAAGAGCTTGAACCCAGTGACCAATTGCATCTGTAGGGGATTGTGATTCCCTTCTCTTTTTGAATAGCACCAATGGGATCTTTAAATAACATCTCATGAGAAGGAAGCACACACAACCCCACACCCCCCCCCCCACCTCCACCAACAGTCTGACTGCAGAGACACAAGAGCTACTGACTGAGCCAGAATGCCACACCTGAGCTGAAGGCATGTAACACAAAGACAATGTGGGGGAGGCTGAGCAGAGATTTCCAAACCTGGAATAAGGCACGATTGGATTAACCTTTTCTCAGTAGCGCTTTGCTGCCAAATTATGC